TCTCCAGCACTTTGTGGGTCTAGCCAAGGTTCTACTGCCGTACCAGTCAGATGTGCCTGGAAATCCTCCAAAGGAAGGTGCCCAGGAGGCATCGCGAACCACCTCAACCAATTTCTTTCAAAACAGAGGGCCAGTAACCCTATTCGGAAGGAAACATCGGGACCCTCCACACCTGATACATTAGTTACCTCTGTCTAAGATGTCCCAGCAGCAAAAGTCTATAAACCTCTGCCACAATAAGTGAAGTAAATTTGCAGGCCAACATCGCAAAACTACAAAATGGTACACAGCGACACTGGTGGTCCTGTGAGGCTGTAGTGTTCACTGCACACCAGAAAGCCAAATCAGTTTTTGGTGGAAAAATGAAGATGCAACTTCTATGTTCTTACATCATTATTACTTATGGGATAAAACAGTAAGGTCTGGTCATTAGGATTGATTACAGCAGGACTTCTTAAACTAGCTTATCATGTTCAATGATACACTGTCAGATCTGGCTAACTTCCCCCCAGTCTAAGTGTCTTCCTCAGGGTCCCCCTTGGAAGTAGGCTCAACTGTTGATACCAGGACAGCATAGTATCATACTACAGTCACAGTTAGGAATGGTAACATGTACTTAGACAAGACAGTACATGGTAAAAATGTGTACGAGAACTGGTAAACATGGGTGGGGAAAACGGATGAGCCTGAAGAAAGACTGGGGAAATCATACAGCTGCAAATAATTAAGGCATTTTTACTTTAGTATTTTAACTGAAGTGTGTTGCATGATGTTTAAAATTTTTCAGGGAATCAATTTCCATTGTTACATGAGAAATCCACATCAATGCTTTCTAATTGTAAATAGCAGAAATCAGCTGAAAACGTGAACACAAACAAACAAACCACTAATTCTCTACAGGAGACCAATGTGTAAAGAAATAAGCCAATTAACCAGTCCACCAAAACAGCGCACAGAGTGAGGCCAGTGTGGGGAATACATTTCAAAAGTGCAAGGCAAAGTAGACGGTAGATTTCTCCAGCAATTATTTTACCAGTTAAACCAACACGAAGAAAACATAATATAGTAATGAAGATTTTTACTGCTGTACATTGAGGTCTTACCTTTTTAGCCAGCTGTGTTAGAGGTTTAGTCCCAGCTAAATCTGTGAACCAGTTATTGATGGAGCTCTGTGACCTTGCTGTGACGAGCCAGAAATTATCCTTCTGGTTGACCTGTGGCTTACGCTTCCCTGTGTCTGGAAATGTGTTGTAACGCAGCTTCTCTGCAATGATGCTGCTGAAGTTTGAACTGATCTGTAAAACATTGAGGGAAACATTTGAAGGCCAAACTGATCAAAAACCACTCACACAAAAATACAACATTCAGCATGGAGGGGGGTTAAAGTGCAAGAGTCGTTACCTTTGAAGGGTTGAAGTTGACATTTTTGGCACTGCCATGTTCATCACCAGACACAGCTGGTTGGTTGTTGAAACCTTGCTTCACATTTAGGGCTGTCAGCTCATCCTGAAACAAACACACATTTCAGTGCCTAATAATAAAAAAAGCAAAAACATTATGTGTTGATCTACATGCAGCATCTCCTTGTTTCTGATCACAGACCAGCTAGCAGCAGTTTGAGAAAATCAGGATATGCGCTTGACTGGGTTTCCTGACACCAGGAAAATACACGTAGCTGTCATTATCACAGACTTGTGGTAACGTTGACAGAACCCCCCAGAGGTAAATCTATCAGCTTCCACCAACAATAACAAATTGTCTTAGGTTAATAATAAACCAGGAGCTGAGAGCACCTCTCAGCTAAGCCAAGCTCCAGTCTTAAAATAAAACACGAATAGTTAAAGCTTAAATTACTGCTTGCAGGTGGTAAAGGGTAGCTGTGTAGGTTTAGCTAACGTTAACTCGTTGGACCAAAACATCAAGCTAACTAACAATTACTAATCACGCACAACCCAGATTTCACTGCATTATTGTTTTCCATCACAGCTAAATATTGGTTGCCGTTTATAACAAACTGGTTAGCATCCACCAGCCGCTAAGCTAGCTCTAAAAAAAAAAAAAAATCTCTGGTATTTAACGAACTGGTTGTTCTCCCAGTAGACTGTCGAGCTAGCTAACAAACTGACAACCACTATAAGTAGCTGCTGTTCATTGTTATTGCTAGGCCCGAATCGTCTAGAGGGCTTCCCAAACAGGCTAGCTGGTGTTAGCTCGCACAGCTTCTTGGCTGAAAAATTTCCTCTCCAAAACATCATTCTTGGCTTTTCAGATTGGGCATCGTAAAATCTGACCTCTTTTTGCTTTGGATCTTGAGGATAAACGTCCGGAGGGCCAAGCCGCGGCCGCTTTAATGGCCGGTGTTCGTAACTTAGGATCCCGAAAGCAGCCATCATCCAGCGGTATCACAGCCTGGGCTTTCCTCCTCCCCAGCTGCCTGAAGCTAGCTACAAAAACCACACACTTCCGGTACGTAAGCCGCATCCCGCACTTCAAAATAAAAGCCACGGAGAATCCACTGTATGGAACGTTTTTTATGATTTACACCAATTTCTGAAACAAACAAACATGTTATGTTACTGTATACATCTACTCCACTGAATTTTTTATATTGTAGCATCATTTGGGTCTTGTACTTTTTATTCCACCACATTAATACCTTTTCAGATTAAAAATAAAAAGCTTAAATAACCATATAAAATACAATACATGTCAGTTAAGCCTTGCTTTCATTTATAAAACCATCGGGAAATTTTGTATTTATACTGTATCAGTCACCAAACGTTTGTACACATTCACAAATTTGATTTTCTCATGCAGAGTTTTAGTATGGTGCAATATACTGCACAAGCACAGACTTTGGAATTATTTTTGATCATCATTTTACAAGACAAAATCCTATTGATCCTTGCGCTAATAGACACATTAAGGAAACTGTTGTGCAAACAAGGAGAAAAACAGCTTTCTGCAAAGGACTTACAGTATGACTTCTGTGTTGTGTTTCAAGAATTCCAAGTGTTTCTCTACCATGGTAAAAGAATTTGTGTTTGCTAACACTACATTCCACAAAGTGCGCATAATGGCACAAAATTATCAGCTGTGGAACAGGTGTGTGTGAAGTGAATTGTGTACTGTCACCGTAACTGGTTATCAGTGTCTGGCTCGTTTTCGATGTGCAGGAACAAACTATCAGATGGTGGCTCACAGCATTTTAGAGGTTTTGTTGGACCCTTTATCACTGGCTGTTGATCTCAGGAGCCAAAACAAGCACATTTTTGATTTCACTGCATTATTGTGCATGTCATCAGGTCCATGCTGCAGTCTGAATTTAGGAATAGACACACATTTGGGCAAACTTACATACAATATGTCAAAGGCCTTAACTCCACCCATGCATTCATGAGCTACTGGACTGGTTCTTGCTTAGATGTCATGTTTTTGTAGTGTTGCTGAGCTGTACTGACAACTTGATGGCACTACTGTGCAACCATTTTCTTCTGGAATATCTATGATGCTTTTAAATGTCTCCACAATTTTCATCTAATACACTTATGAGTACTGCTCTAATTGACCATTTAATTCCTATAACTTTGTCAGGTTAGACAATTAACAGATTATATATTAAATGTGATGCAATAGAATTAGAGATAATCTTTTGTATTCCACATTTTTAAATTAATTTTTTAATTAGAATTTGGTGCCCATAATGCATATAATGCCCACAATGCAACATGACAGCTGATAATTTGTTTGAACATTTGGGTATGCTTATGATAGTAGCGGCTAAGGAGAGGGCTACAAAGATTTAGTAAGCAAACATTTTTCAAAACTCACAAACACTCAAGTGAACAACAGTTGAGACAGTCCATTGGGCTTTATACAGCTCCGTCTGAAGCCACAAGACTTTGTGCACAACTCTTTCCACATATGCAGTAGGAATGCCAAAGAACTGTACACAGGGCTTGATGTGAAAAATCAAGATGGTTCCTCTTAAACATGCAAATGCCCTAGACAACTGGAGATAAGCACATACAAAAATACCTTTATTGAAAAAAGAACCTTTATAATAAAAAAATCAAACATTTACAGAAAAATATATTGCAATTTCTCAATCTCAAGTGCACAAAGGCAATCTTGAAAATGCATCAATAAAAAGATATTGCACTCCTAGTGACTGTTCAGTACATAGTTGATTATAAGGCAGATATTCAGCTTTGTGAAAACACAGCATTTAAAAGACACATCCTGGTGTTCAGTCTCAGGTTTGTTGTATACAACATATTGTACCTTGGTTTAAAACATGCATTTTATTAATATAGCATACTTTGCTCAGCACCTGTGCAAAACCACTACCAACGGTATAAAATGTGCAGATTTTAACTCCAGCATTTGGATGTAAAAGATATATTATCTAATTTCAAAACACAATGCTCACATGCATTATATTCCATTGTATGACCTAGAAATGTCAACAGCTCTAGGCAAATTTTATATGTATGTCTTTAATAACTTACCGAAATTACTGCATTATAACCTTCAACTAAATGCATCAAACATAAAAAAAACAGTGACATCTTATAGCAATTTTGAGCCAGTACCTCATATGAACAATTAATATAGTGTACTGAATTATGGATACTAACTACTAAGATCTTTCAGTTAATCATATCAATAATGCTATGACATATAAATATTAATTGTTAATCTGCTGTTCCTGCGCTGTGAGGTTTACAGAAATAACTATTTGGAAATCAGAAATCTTATTGATTAGCTGACCTCCAGAGGAAAAAAGTGCCACATGTCCTTTCAATGTTCCCACATGAAATATAAAGTGCTATTGTCATAGTCACTGCTTTGTGTCACTTGTAGTTGCATTATTTGGCCTCTGTGAAACTTGTGTGACACAGCTGCAAAGAAGAGCCCGTTACGTCTTTCTTTGCATAGTGACGTTTCATTCAGAATGTGGTCACTGGGTCTTTGGTGTGGAAATAAAACAGACATTGTTACATGAAGCAGCAATTGCAAAAACCTCTGTATTTCTTAACACATTGCTTTCACACAATGGACGGACTGGATCTTCTTATTTGTGTGTGTGTGCAATTCAGGCCTTCTGCTAAATATTCAGTGATGTCACAGCTCACGTCCAAAGTTCAGCGAGGTTTCTGATGCTTTTACCATGGCTCTGAATCTTGAGTTTTCATCTGCCAGCAAGGCAGCGGGACTGTCAAACTCCAAAATCTATGAGTATGAAAAAGATAAAATTAAATCATTATCAGCATATAAAATCATAGGTTCTACTTATCTGCTCCAAGATGTTGCGCAGAAAGAAAAAAAAAAAAATCATCCAACCCATAATGCAATCCAAGTTATTTCAGCATATGGAAATAATTTTAACATCTGAAATCTGTTGTTGTCAGTCAGCCTTGTTATGCTGTGTCTGTGATTACTGCTAATTGATTCAATGCACTGAGGCCAGAGGGGATGGTTACATGGTTACACGGTCACAGTGGCAACAAATTATGGGTATATTCACACAACGAATCTAGTCTATCCTGATCCATCTTTCATTCACTCCTCTATACACTCACTGATTAATCTTTGGATCAGTGCTCCCCAAACTTTATCTGCTGAGCCCTCCCTTTTCTGGGTAAAAATTTGTTTGAGCTTCCCCTCCCACCCCACCACCATACACATCAGTAATACTCAGCCAAAATGTGCATTGTCCTATGCAGTCTGTCACCCTAAGGGGACAATTCACACAGCAAATCAGGGGTGTTTCAGCATGTGAGCGAATTTCAACTAAGGGGCCGAATCGTGAAATTGTGCAGCCATGTTACACTTATACACACCTGGCCATTATCCATGACCATGATCCTGCTGCAGTTCATCACTGTGTTGAGACGATGTGCGATGATGAGTGTGGTGCAACTGTCAAACGCATGGGAAATGGTTTCTTGTATCATACGATCTGTCTCAGTGTCGATGGCTGCTGTTGCCTCATCCAGTATAAGAATCTATTTAAAAAAGCAAATGTTACAATGAAATAATGACGAGGAGATAACATTTTCCAAACAAAGAAATGACGTTGGTGCCTGTGCTTGCTGTATAAAATGTAACATTTCAGAGTATTAACACAAAAATCGAAAATTTGGAAGGACCATACATAGACATGCTACTTTCTTATTTATTCACAAGTAAAATCAGAATGAAACGTTCTGGCTTATGCATCCATCAGGGATCAAAACTAATTAACAAGAGTTCTTGGGCTGTCAGCACCAGTGCATATTTGATGGGTTAGAGGTGCTTTGTCACTTAACACAAAGACATCACACTATACTATATACTTTATGCTGGCCATGCCTGGTTTATACTTTAATAATTTATTAGATGCCGCTCAAAAACATGCCACCAGGTGCCAGTGTTATCCCATACAGTGATATGCACACTGACTGAGTGAAATGAAGAGGTCTGTTTTCCCATTTTTAATCTGAAGAGAATCTCATACTTAAGTTGCTACAGTCATCATCACTGCCAAACCACGTTGTACATGTAATTGTGAACTTGCAATATTATATGACCAACACCTTGCTGTTCCTCAGCAGGGCCCTGGCCACACAGATTAGCTGTCGCTCTCCCACTGAGAAGTTCTCTCCATTCTCCGTCACCTCGGAGTGGAGGGAGTGAGGTAGCTGGCTGACCTGAGGAGGGTCAAAGGTGTATATATAGCGGACAAACTGTCAGGGGTTGTTCCAGTCAAGTAATGCACATTTTGGCAAAAATCAGTGCTTCATGTCATTTACCATCTGTTTAATATGTGTCTTCTCAAGAGCCTCCCATATCTCAGAGTCAGAGTATTGATCCCATGGGTCTAAATTGGTCCTGTAGCAAAAAACAAAGAAAAAACCCTGTGATATTCATTACCTGGATTAACCACTGGGACAATGTCACGTTCAGACAAGCTGTTTAGGGCAGATACTGCACTACTAACCCTCAGCAGGCCAAAATCAATTGTCACCTGAGTTAACTGGCATCCATAAAGCAACCAACTGCAGGTTTTTGTTAAAGCAAAGCTGACATTTTTAAATGAGTCAAGCCTGCCAATCACAGCAAATAAACACCTTCTCAGAGAGATATTTTTAGGCAAATGGTGGAAGTTAGGCAACACAGATGTTCTTGAACACAGGTTACAGAAGGAGTATTCCTGTTTGCAAGAGGGAGTGGCCAATTGTGTGTAAAAGAAGTGTTACACACATGCAAACATTTACAAAACAAACAGCACATCTACACCACAATGTTGCATTAGTCAGAACTGCATTAATTGCGGTGGTTTTGTTTTTTTTTAATTCTCTTCTCTACTTTTTGGTCAAGATATGTATATTGTTAAGTATTTTATCCAGAACAATACATTAGTTTGTAATGAAAGTAAGATTACCGGATGGTGCCAATGAAGAGCACGGGCTCTTGAGGAATGATGGCTAGCCTGCTCCGCAGCTCATCCAGACCAATCTGTGTAATGTTGACTCCATCAATGATAATAGAGCCTCCTGTCAGCTCCACCAGTCTGAACAGCGCTACACCCAGGGAGGACTTTCCTGCAAACACATACAGAGAAACTGCCATGTGGATATTTTCTATTTTAATATTTTATTATTACTATTATCAGTTTTTTTTATCCCATTTTATTTTAATGCACACTGGGGGCCACTGAACTGGAGTCAAATTCCTTGTATATACAAAGATTCTAATTCTGAAATGTGTGAACAAGCTGAAACAAAGATGTAAACATAGGCTGAAAATGCCATTGGCTAGAGAACAGAAGGGTCACTCGTACCTGAACCTGTGCGACCCACAATGCCGATGGTCTCTTCAGGCAGGATGGTGAAGGACAGGTTTTTAAGCACCAGTGGCAGATCATCACGATAACGCATCTCCACATTCTGGAAGGTGATCTTTCCCTGCTGAGGCCAGGAGGGGGCGGGAGCGGCCGCCTCAGGACTGTGTCTGGGTGCTTCACTCTGTAGACACTGAGATAGGGAACAGTGGTAGAATATGATGTTAATCTCTAAATCTATGTGGAGGTGCAAGGCCCCCAAACTGATTTGTAGAGATTTTCTCTCTATGAGCTTTTCTTTGCACTTGAGACAGAAAAGAAAAAAACTGAAGTGATATGGTATCTTTGTCGTTTGATGACTGTTGTGTGAAACAAGCTCTATCATGTGCTCTGGAGTGTGTCAGGAAGTCACACTGGGTTTCTATCTGCTTCCTGCTGTTTTCATTTCACATGTGCACAGTAAAAACACATACACATGTCTGGACAAGCCAAGTGGTCTGACTTCAAGTGCTCTGTTACACTGAACTGGTCTGCATCTGATGGTGTGATTCTAGACAGTGTCTGAGTCAGTCTATAGTTTGTGATCTTGTACAGTGTGTCCGTGCACCACATGACCCACATGCTGTGCTAATCAGTGCTCTTACCTTTATATAATGACTGATCCTCTCAACTGATGTAAACCGAGCTTCAGTCTCTGCGAGCAGTCTCACCGTAAACTGAAGCAAGCCAGTCAGCTGCAGGTGAAAGACAAGCAGGGAGAGGTGGAAGGTTACTCTGACAGCACTTGGTATTTCGCTGCTCCCCTTTGACGAATGAGCAGTAAAACATCAACGAATGCAGGCTAATAAACGTATTTGCTGACATGGCTCTTTCACAATCCAGCTAATCAATTTCAATTCTCTGCCATGGTTGCCATGACTGTCGATTATAACGTGCACTAAAGCACAGAGCCTTAAAAAAAAATAGATAAAACCAAACACTGGTCAGTTTAATAATAAGGAACCAAACATTCTTCATAGGCAGATTCTGAAAACAGCCTTGCAAGTATGCAGTAACTTGATGTTCCATAAAAAAGACGAGGGCTGTCTGTTGAATCTGTGTATAACATGGTGGCTCTGATCCTGAACAACAGCCACTGTTGAATGCTAAACCTATGCTAAACTACTAAAGGCTAATAGTTTAGCAGCTAAATGTCCAATTACTGTAACAGTAGCACAAGTAGAGAAGAGACGTAAAATCATAAAACATCATAACTTATAGTGAAAAATAGAACACTTTACAATAAGGGTACAAATTAAATACTAAAGTAATGTTTGACTAATGCATGACTCATGATGATTTAATGTATGATTACTGCGAGTTGTGTTCCTGTTACTCGCAACTCACAAATGATCAAGCGCTGTGGCTTTCTGTGAGCAGTTCAGACTTAATATATCATCAATTAACTCACATTTACTTCATACATTTAATTGATGTGCCTCCGAATTAGATGCATTCTAGTTGGATAAGGTGTTACTGCAAAATATAGCTGAAACAACCGCACTGAGCTACTGGTCATACCACAGCAAGTAAGTTATATGAAATCAATTACAAATCATGTATGTAATGTTAATCGAAAGATGCTTTTTATGTTTAATATTGGTGAAAGTGTTGTTAAAACGCATACAGTAGAAATAAGTGAGTCTACATCTTAGTGTTGAGCTGTGTGATCTATGCTGCTGTGTGGTAACACCTTGTTACCAGAATGACAGAATGGACAGAGCATCATGTTCTGTACATAAGGATGTTTACATACTTTAATAGTAAGATTATAAGTAGGGAGTGTTCTTGTTTTACTCCTTGCCTGCACAGGCTTTTTGCTTGCTTGAATTAATTATTTCCATAACAATCCCTAATAAATTCAGCTTGAATTTATATGAGGTGTCGTTTCCTCTGGCCAAGGTTCCATAGTCTTACTTTAAATTTTAAATGTCTAGGGACAGTTTAAGTAATTGCAGGCAGTTTTTAGCTCAATTTTACTGTATATACAAACAGTTGACCAGCAAACAAGCAACTCCTTTAAATAACTACAAAATATTTCAACAGAAGTAAATCCTGAAACACTTCAAGAGCACTTTTATGGTAGCTATAGACAGAGAGGGGGCGTTGCCGCATTTCTTTAGCCTGCCTAGAGCTTAGTCAAGAACCACCTCCTTTTGAACCTTACAAATATTACAGCTGCCAACGTCTTCATATATTCTGCATTATTACACGTGTTTGTTTACAAACCTGCACTACGTACGCTATGGCCAGGCCTGCATAAGAGGGAGGTATCTGATTGTGCATGAAGACAATGAGAAGTGCTACAGCAGTGGTCAGGAAGATGCTGATGAGGTCCAGGCGGACAGCCAGCCAACGCACTGCACAACTGAAGAGGTATTTGGAGGCCTGGTTGGTGTCCAGTAAGTCCTGATATCTGATTAAAAAAAAAGAGAAATACACCCAGTTACTCTCTACTCCCAAGGTTGCTGAGCGCTTGTTATATTTACTAAACAGAGTAAACTGTAAATCTATGAGCAGAGGTAACATGAGATTAAAGTTTAATGGTCTCCATCTCTCACAGAAACCATTCTGCTCACCTTTGGAGGAAGTCGTGCCCTCTTCCATATGCGTGGATGGTGGAGAGTCCCTGAAGACTGCTGGTGATGTGAGAGGTGAATGGTGATTGGCTGATGTTCTCTAGGCGCTTCAGCTCACGAATCAGAACCCTGAAAATAGACAAAGATAATCTTTTACATTTAACTTCTGATCATTGACTAATTACTTCTTTTCTGTAAAACATTTGATTGCAGACTAAATGCAGATGTTTATAACATGTTAGTACTAGGTGAAGTTGCAGCTGTTTCATTTGTGTCTATACACCTTAAACTTCACTCAGTGATTTACCAGAAAGTTTAATTTGTTTTTCCACATATATTCAGAATTTAATCGGTGATTATACTGTCTTAAAAACCCATTCTTATTTACAGGGAGATACAAATTAACTCAAGAAATGCATTACAACTGAAGTTTGGTTTTTCTCTCATCTTAAACTGCTGTAAAAATCCTAATCAGGTCTGTTTCCAGCCCTGCAGCACTGGAAAGACTCCATTCAGGTTTGCCTCATTTGAATAAAAATGGTAGGGTACTGTGTGCAAACAGGCATGTGAGGAATAAAACTCTCAAATAAATTACAGTCAACTGGAAAACATCACGAAGAATTTTCTACTCCACCATTGTGCCACAGTAGGTACACAAGAGACAGGATTTTGAAATCATGTATGAAATGCGAAGTGCAAACTGTTGTGAAGGTGATGCAGTTTTGAAGAATCAGCACATGCATGTCCCACTTATTCTGCAGCATTGAATTACTTGTTAATGCTGAAATGGGAAATGCATCAGATCTAATGATGCAGTTTTGTCACAGACAGGTAATGATGACACAGTGGATGGAGAGACTTTGTCCTTGATGCAGCGCCACTAATCGTTTATCTTTAATGCATGTGCAATATTATGAGCAACGCCACAGTAACGCCAGGCACTTCCCAGCCAGAGAGAGAGACACTAGGCTCTCTGTCCATAAGGTAGTGTGAGCGAGGCTTACTGTCAAAGGCGGGGTGTCTACTTTTAGACCCCAAATAGAATGTATGGTACATGTGAAAAACAAGTCTCCCATGAATCATTTGGCTTTCTCATAAAAGCTGAGAAGAGAGAGGGAAAGAACATGGCACTTCCTTGCTCTGAGGCTGCAATCCAGACAAACATGTTTATGCCCTGGGCACTTTCATTTCAGAATTCAATAAAGCCTGCTTTATAAGTGGGTAATTTCAATGGGAGATCGAGGTTGAAGCAACATCCATACATATTCTGAGATGTTGTGACTTAAGATACAACGTTTCATTTTTTAAGGGTGATCTCTACCTTCTGGTAACATCTGTCATGGTTTAAGTGATCTCAGTATTCATCCAAGTTTATCATTAATTCCACTCTGTCTTGTTTTTGTACACTGTATTCTACACAAGAACCCTAAGAACACATGTTCTTCTTCATCTATCAGAGACAGGAAATAAGAAAATGCTAAGGTTATTTCCCAAGATACCAGCAGACGGTTGTTTCCCTCAGTGAATTCACATTTACTGCACAAAATTTTAAACTGATCACCCAGAGTGCTCCTGCAACATCTGCCCGGAACAGAAGCTGTGAAAAATTAAACCAGTGACCACTAACATTGTATCTACTTTAAGATGGGGATTATATCTTCTGCACCTCTTTTGCTGTTACCTTTGTTACACTAACAATGGCGAACTAAAATGTAATGTAGCCCCTCTAATTCTACAAGAGACATGAAAGCGCACTGACACTATATACGTAGAAAGTCTTTTTTAATTAATAGTCTATATGTATGCAATGCTGCAAGATTTCTCTTTTCCTCTTATATTTAAAACTTGCATTTACAAAATGTACCCAGTATTAAAGACAGGATTAACTACTAGCTGTAACAAGAACTGAAGATTACACCCTAAGAATTTTGATACATTTGATATAGTTTATACTGAAACAACTTTTTTATTAATGTACATTTTGTACACAATTAAAATTTTGTACATAATTAATGCACATAAGCATTGCTTGCTGCAACAAATGTCCAAACAATTATAATCCTTGTGGCTCATTATTTGAGTTTTTTCAGCTGCAAATTGACAATATGATTCACTGTGATTACTCTCATCTGCCCTTGTTACAGCAGCAACAGGCTGACAAAGTTAGCAACTAGAAAGTCAAGGAAACTGTAACTCCAGGAGCTAAAAAGACAAATATTTTCTTGGCAGTAGGTGGAGAACTAAACAGAAATACAAGACAAGTGAATGACAGATATATTTGTGAGGTGGCCAGAAGCACAGTTCCAAGTCAGTGCCAATCATGCTCCTGTTTGCTGGATGTTTAAATTGGCAGCTTGCGATTACAATAACTTACAATAAGCTAGAAACAAAAGTGATGAGAGTCCAACCTGGAGACACGGTTGACAATGCAGAAGAAGACACCCAGAGGCAAGATGGCGATCAGGAACCAAGGAAATACGATGCCCACCATTCCCAAGCAAAACAGGACCAGGGTCAGGCTCTGCAGCAGCAGTTCAGCTTGCATGGTCAGATGAACATCAACTGTGTAAAGGATCGTATAATCAGTCACACTGCATGGTGTTGGATCCATCTAGTTCTGTATGGAATGGAAACTTTCTCTATTTTCTCCACAACACTACCTAACTTGTCATTTTTTGTGTTTATTTCACAAAAGAGTGAAAGAGAAGGAGAATCTACAAAAATATTATGCTTTCAAACAGCAACCCACAAATCAAAAGACACAAGTGAAGTGGACAACAGAGAGCCCATCACTAGGGAAAACACTCCATGTCAAATCACACAGTGCCTTGGCACTACACCTTGTCAACCAGGGTGACTTCACAGACTGAGAGCTCTCTTGGGGGAAAGGTTCACAGTCAAGACAAATCATGCCTCACCCTCATCCATGTCCCTCGAGAAGCGGGTCAGGATACGACCCAGAGGTGTTGTATCAAAGAACTGCATGGGGCTGAGGAGGAGTCGGTGGAACAGCTTGTCGTGGAGCGCTGATGCAGCCTTCACTGTGCACTGTCAACACAAACAACAGCCGTGCTTGAACATGAGACCTGACACATGTAAACAAACAACTCAGAAACATATGGAAATGATCACGGCTTGGATAAACAGACACTTGGAAGGAAATTGTCTGTCGATGTACTAAGCTTGAAACACAAAAACACAATGGATAAATATAGTGGCACTCACATGTTACCTGCTGAGTTACAAATGCTACTTCACCATATCCAAAGCATGTGCACAGCAGTGGGGCGTTATTTTTCCCCCTTTCAAGCAGGGCAAGCTGTCAAATCTTTATTTATAATGAGTTTCTGGGAGGCTGACATAAAGGTCATGACCTAATGCACAAGAGACATTTCACCAATTGGACAGAGATTATATGTGGCAGCAGAGAACAAATTAATTCTATTAATGGAATATTCAA